GAAACAAGGGATCATCCAATGCTAACTCCATCCAATGGCAATTCTCCTGATTCTCAGGGTACATTTCTCTCTCTGTTTGCTCATGTGTAATCCACATGTCTTTTTCATTCCATGGCTCCTCTACTGGAGACCATTCCTCATGCAGTCCTATCTTCATGATACCTTGTGTTAAATGAATGATAGTTTCACACGAACTATTCTTTTATGTTTTTCAGATCTCACCTCAGGCTATAAATTGACATCGGTCTCACGTTAAGAAATCATTTTTATCTCACCTCTTGTATGGGAAACATGTCTGCACTCGAAGGCACTGTCTCTGATCTTATCCAAGAAAACACCGCCATAGGAGATCAATCTGAACCCACTGAGAAAAATATGGAACCTACCGTAAAAAGTAAGAAATCTACACTAAAAAGTTATCGTCAAAAATTGCAAGCCATCCAGGCCCGCATCAAGTATCGTGAAAAAGCCATCAAAGGGTTTAGAAACCATCTCAAGAAGGGCACCTTTCCTAAACGATTCAAATCATTACGGCCTTACCCCAAAATGGATTCGCCCGAATCACAAGCAGTTGTCAATGCAGCCTGTGAGCAAGTACATTGTGTCATTTTAGATCAAATGATTTTGGACGAAGAGAAAAAACTTGTACAAGATCAAACCAGTTATCAAGCCATGAAAAAAGAACGAGAAGGTGAACGCGCCCAGTTACTCAAGACAGCCAGAAAATCCCAGAAATTGTCTGTAACCCAGCTTATGCAGGAACTCACCGATTTGCAGTGCAAATATGCCCAGCTCTATCAACAATTAAACAGCACTCAGTAAAAAATAAAACACATGTTTTAAATTGTAAACTTTGTGTGATTTTTATTGACCTCCTAAAACTAGTTACGTGTCTAGTGAAAAAAAAAATTTACAATGCAGTAAACGTTAACTGTCCTCTTACATACTTTGCCTTCAATCGTAGGTCATACGTTTGTCCTTGAATCAGAGTCTCTGGTCTGGGGTGTTTCACCAAAACTTTCCATTTCTCTTCCAAGTTTTTGGTGACTTGAGGGTTTAAATGTTCCACGAGCTCTGAATCTCTAACCAGCACTGTGTTTGGCATGACTGTAAACCTTTGTAAACCTTCGTCGTTTTCTCCTTGATATGTTCCTTGTATGTCCTCTTTTAATATATACTCAAAATAAGCAATCACTTTACCCACTGGAGGAACAATGTTTTCAATACATGATGAACCTACAAAGGTGCGATTTCCATTGATCTTGTTCTCCACAAAGAAGTAAAACTTTATTTGTGTTTGACCACAGGGACAAATGTTGTGCTCGTTCTCTTCAATGAGTCGTGACTCCACAAACATCCATTCGTTTTGGAAATCTTCTTCGCTTAAATGCTGTAAATGAAGAAACAAATTAACCTCTTGCTCCCTGCAAATACGTCCATGGACTTTTCGCATGTGCGTTTGTCTGTTACCTTGTCTTGTAAATGATGCGTTGCAAAAGAAACATTTGTAGCATGGTTTTACCTCACTACAGACTGTTTCCAAATGATTTTTCATTGCTTGTTTACTTGCGCATCCTCGATTGCATTTTGGACAAGTAAACCTTGATGGAGTCTTCGAATGTTGTTGTTGTACATGCCGTTGCATATGATGCTTCAATGAAAATGAGATAGGGCAGTATGGACATTGATAACGATTCTCTGTTGTACCACAATGCTTCTTATGATGAAAGAATTGGCCTTTGCTCAATTCTTTTCCACATGTAGGACATGGTCTTGGATACGTTACTTTTGGCATGTTGCAAATCTGTTATGTTTGACCCAAATTCCAACACCCTGATATACTCAATCAATGTTCCCTGGGGCAATGACGTCAACGGGCAAGTCTGAGCGTGATAGTCCCTTGGGATCTTATATGTTGAGGCATGTTTTTTCGTAAATGACCGTGATAACCAATTTTATGTTATTAGTCGGTGAAAGCAGTTTAGCCAATAACCAATTATAACTCAACCAATCAAACATGGCTAACATTGTGTGTGATAATGACACCGTCCATGGAAAGAAGGCAAACACTGGAATATTAGTCAGCACTCCTAAACATTTTGTGATGGGGAGAGCAATCGGCTCTACTGCATGTAACGTCAAATAACATCTTGTTTTCATCGATAATCTTCGACTTGTCACCCAATGTTGAACTGCACGTAATAAACCATCGCTCATAGACATCAACAGGTTTTCATTCTTTTCTGGTACTCTGTGTTGATGCACCGTGAGTTCCAGCTGAATTTCTTCTTGCATAGCATCGTTATTTCCAACCACTCTGTCTGCGAATTCTGTTAACTCCACTGAAATCACTGGGTTGTATAGATTATACCCATGTCCGCTTTTGAAACGTTTTTCTTGCCAATAGGCTATTTTTTCCAAATCTTGCATAGACACCGACTGCATTTTACCTTGTCTTCCCCACACTTGCATTCGCACTTGTTTTATGGATGAAAAAATGCCAAGTCATCCCCTTTTTATTTACACTCGTACCAGTCCTTCTCCTAGTTAGGGTTAAAATGCTAATAAACCCTAGTCCTTTGGGATTAGGGTTAGGGTTAAAATGCTAATAAGGAGAGGGTTAAACCCTAGTCCTTGGGGGATTAGGGTTAGGGTTAAAATGCTAATAAGGAGAGGGTTAAACCCCAGTCCTTGGGGATTAGGGTTAGGGTTACGGTTAGGGTTAGGAATTAGGGTTAGGGTTAGGGTTAGGATTTAGGGTTAGGGTTAGGGTTAGGGTTCCTTTTATAGGAGAATCTTTGTTTATACTTTTTGCCTCATTAACATATGCTTATCACTATCTGATGACGCTAATAATATAAAAACTCTGAATATTGAAAGGGCATAACAGTTTCAGTTGTCTCTGAAAGTTTGAGCCCAATAAACCGAATGGTTTCGGAGAAATTCTCTTCTAAAAACTCAAAATATTACAAAGACTGTATGCCTCATTAACTTTTTTGCCACACAGCAATTTCGCAGTTTTCGATGGTTGATATTTCCTTCAATATGGCTTGCAAAGAGCTGAAAATTGCACACATTGCTCAACTTAATCAGCTGTTTCAATTTTTGCATTTAAATCATATATACGGCCAGGGCTTTTTTGAGTTAAGTGGTATGCTAATGAGGAAAAATGTAAATAATGACGTCAGCAAAGATTCGCCTATAGGAGACCCGTCCCATTCCGTGAGTTTATACGTTACCACTGGTTTTGTCGTATAGATTTGTTTCACTAAAAACACTTCTTCGGTCCACCCAGGCAAATACCCTTTTTTAAAAGGACGAAATTTTTTTATTGAGTCTTACTTTATCACCTACTTGACATTGCGGTTTTTTTCACTTTGTTGTCTTTTTTCGTATCGTATAAACGATACCAAATGTCGATTTCGTTGGACTCGTTGACATTGACAGGTTTTTCTTGAATACTACGATGATAGGAATGATTATATGCTTTCACTAAAGCAGGCAACACATCAATATATTTGAGCGTATTATGCGCAGTAAAATAGCGATACATGTTCGTTTTCAATGTTCGGTTCCATCGTTCCACCACAGATCCGTGAGGATCTCCATACGTAGAAAAATGATTTACTCCATGTTTTTTAAAAAAGGACTGTACTTTGACATTATAAAATTCACCGCCAGAATCTGTTTGTACTTTTTGCGTGAAACGATCTCCCAATCTTGACCACAGTCTTTGTAAGGCTTCTACCATCGATGTTGCGCTTTTACTCTTTAACGGCTCTACCCAGGCAAATTTTGAGAGCACATCAATCACTGTCAGTAAATATTTGTACCCTTTGTTGTATTTGGCTAGTTTTTGCATGTCTACCAAGTCCATGACAAATTGTTCGTTGATTTTAAACACCAGGGTGGGTAATGTTTTAAACCGCCGACGTCTTGGTTTGTGCAGAGTGTAACTCAGCACTTGTTGCAGTTCCTTCTTGGCTTTGGACACGGGAATCTTGTGCGCTTTGGCAAATTTGGCAACACCTCCCAGTGATCCAGGCTCGGTAGGATCGACATACGAAGCGAATAATTTCGTTGACATAGTACACTAAAGGGCGACTTGCTAAATACCAAAATGAATACATGTTGTTGGCATGATGTTTCTTTAAATAGTCAAACACCTTGATTCCTTCGGATGGATGGTGTCGATGCAGCCAAGTGATGTACACTGCATAATATCCCCAGGTTGTATGGTTATGATTTATCATCCATTGAAACATTGGGATAGGAGGACAAGTGTCTTCAGAGCATAGGTCGTTTAACAAACGACGACAAATCCACACCGTACTTCTATACTGCAGGTTTCCCACGACTGAATGAATACTTTTCAAAACAAATGATCGATTTTTATACGTCTTTATATTCTATTTTCAGAACACATTTCATTCCCCCTGTTTGAACATGTTTAATTCTCAAGGGCTAGGGTTTAACCCTAACCTAATTAACATTTTAACCCTAACCCTAATCGCAAGGGGCTAGGGTTTAACCCTAACCCTAACCCTAACTCTAACCCTAATCCCAAGGCGCTAGGGTTTAACTCTAACCAGAAAACAACCACATAACATTTCTTTCCAACACTTTTATTTAAAAATTGACAGAACTAGTAATTGAAAGGATCACTCTCAGTAGCTCCAAAATCGACGCTCATCATTTCAAGGTCTTCTTCTCTACTCATTTCACAAGTCATGGCTGCAGAGTTTGTGATTTGACCAGAGATTGCCCCAATTTTATAATCCTCCTAAGGTCCCTAGGGTATTGGGCAAGATCGGGCAAGAATCCCCAAGGGTGTTAGACCAATAAACACACGTTTTTAATAAGATCACAATGTTTAATTTTAAACAACAACAAACTTTTTTACAACAACCAAGAACAAAGTGTTTTTAGGGAAATTGAAATCCTCCTGCCTCTACTTTAGGTCGTTTCTGTAATCTTTCTTGTACCATCTCATGCATTCGTTTCTTGAGAGCTGAGGGTGTAGAAGCTTTAGGGACCTTCACAGGTTTAGGTGCTTGGTGAATCCACTGAAAGTAATTACACCTGGCTTCTCTCTCCTTAGGGCAGCTTAGGAACACTTTGTTTGGATTTCTTGGTGTTTGACTGAGCTTGAGTCTAGGCACTAATCCACAGTGACAGGCAAAGGTTCCCCATTGTTGATGGATTTTGGGATGAATGCTGTTACAAATGATATCCAACACTGTCTGCTTGCTGTCTACATTGCCAAAATACACGGGGCATGTATAACCATTGGCAAGTCCTTTTTCAGGCAGGACAAAGTTGGTATGCAAAGGTTTGCCTGCATCCATCAGATACTCTTGCAAAGCCAGTTCTTCTAAATTAGGTACATCGAATTCCCCTTCAATAGGCCACCATTCCACTTGTCGACCATCTGGTAACACAGCGACTCCTTCTTCCATGATATGCACGGGATCTAGGTCAGGCTGTGTTTCCATAGAACTCGGTCCATTGAATAGATCTTGGCAGGCCTGCTGCATTTCCTCATAGGAAGGAAGCATGATCTCTGTTGCTGGTTGTGCATTCTCATTGACATTCATTTGAGGTTCTGGGTCCAGGTATTTCTGCAACCTACATTTATCGCCTGTAGTGTAATGGGATGCTGTCCATTCTTTTGTAAGAGGTTCAGCATTCTCAATCATTTGAGGTTCTGGCGTTTTTAGAACGGATTGAACTACTTCTACTCCTGTCTTATTTTTGGCTTTTCTGGCTTTCTTCTTGGGAGCTTCCATGTTAAACGGCGGTTCTTGCAGATAACACATAGTGAAAAAGCACATCAAATACACAGATTTATACTTACTTGACATCCCTTAGGGAATTGGACATGTCTGGGCAATGACGCCACTTCTGTCACGAACTCACACGAATCACCCCTTGGGACATGAACATGTTAGGGCAAACTATAAAAGAGAGTAATTAGCTCATTTTTATTATTAAACAACATGACTCAGCCAATTGACACCTCGTTTTATGTGACGCTGACTAGTAAAAAAACACAGGAATTTCCAGACAATTTACCCACACAATTTCAATACCGTTTGCCTCAAAGCTTATGGTTACCGGGCAAATGGAAAGTGGGATTGGCAAGTGTGTTTTTACCTGGCGTTTCCAACCCCATTCCCCATGTTGTCACATCCCATGTCAATTCCTCTCCGCCCAAACAACATGACATACTTCCTACCAAACCTTTCAGTATTCGGTCGATTCACAACCTGTACAAAGGGAGTAATACCGATATTTTATTTCAACAATATGCCAAAGCTTTCAAATCTAGTCAATCTCAAGAATTTTTGTCCAAACTTAAAACAACCGATTTGCAAGATGCCTCCAATGGATTTGATTTTATGTCCAAAGTTTTCTGGTGGATGGAACAGGATTTAAACAAAAAATTACCCACGGGGTATGAATTTGCAGATAGTAATGATAATTGGAGAATAGATGTTTCTGCTCAAGATAATTACACGAGTTGGTTGCTTCGGCATTACAATGTTGAAAGTACCAACAGAAAAAGTGTGCCTTATTTAGCCATTAATTTGATCTTGGCTAAACAAATGGGTTGGGTTGTAGAAACAACTACCAATGTGTTTGCAGTGGGACCGATTTACTCATAGAGCTTCCATACGGTACTACTAGTGTAAAACCAGATCCCGCGACCTGTCTCAATGCAAAATTTACTTTTACTCAACCCATTCATGTAGTAGACGGATTGCTGTATCTTTGCTCCACGTTTAGTTGGCGCTTTGTGAATTTAAATGAAGCCTTTGACAGAGCGATTCATCGACCCTATGAAACCCCAAAAACAGTTTTCAATGTGTTCAAACCCTGGATGACTAACCTTTCCTTATGGAATATGGATCTTGGACTCGCCTTGAACGATTACTTTATAAACTTGCCTGTGTCTCCCCATTATTGGAAACCCAGAACTCTGAGTGTGACTTTGTTAAGAGGAGTAAAAATTGTGGATATGGTATCTCACGGAGATTACTCAGGGGAACTGGGAATTGATATGAGCTCCTTAACTCGCAACAAAACTTATACGGTGGCATTAGAGTGGTACCAAAAGGATGAGTGGCTGTTTAACCGTTCTAAATTTTCAGTGGAAGGAACGGGTTTACAAGTTCATCATGTGCGGGTTGAAAAACATACTCATGAGCAAAACAAAACCCATTTGATTTATTACCACACCTTAACTATTCAATTCACCAAAACTTCAAGTAGCAATGCCACATTAAGCATCAAGTTTGAAATAGGGTTTCCACTGCCTGCAAAATATTCAGGTGATTTGAAAGACAACACTTTTTTAGTGCTGTATGGTGTGGATGGACATGTAGAACAGGTACCCGATGTGTATGACGATCACCCGGTCATTCCTTCTTCTCACACAACCACCAAAACAACGACTACCAGTACGGGGGACAAGAAAGCTTCCACACATCCTAAATCTCATGGAACAGACAATTTACGCCCTCTGTTTTTGTCATGCAATTTAACCAAAAGCATTGATGGAAAAAGAACCATCATGAAATCTGTCGCTTATAATAACGAAAAAACGCTGATTGAATGTAACCCCATTCAGTTTTATTCCTTGAGGAGTTATTTGGTGGACATTTTAGAAGTGACTGTGACAGAATGGAATAACCTTATTCCCGACTTTAATCAGGATAGTCCAACTATTGTCACCCTATTGTTGAAGAAAAAGCTGACAGAGTCACAACGCAAATACATTAAGTTGGATGAATCAATCGACCATGACCAACCCATATAAGCAAGCCTTGCAGCACAGATCATTCATTATGTGTGAGACCTACTGGATCAACGTCGCAAGTAAATCACTCGCTTATTGCGCACAGCTGTTGCAACAGATTAAAGAACTCAAGGAAAAGGTCGCGACACTCTAAGAAGAAGCAGCTAGGTTGAAAACGTTGATTGAAAAAGAAGAACAGCTGATACAAGATCTCACCGAAAAACATGGGGGCTACGACACCGTCTACTAAAATGAAACAGCTGTTAAAAAAAGTACAGCCGTGTAAATTTGCTTCCTACCAAGAATTTATACGAGCCTTGATGATTGAGGCATTAGCCAACACCGACATGAACTTTGATCAATTGAATTACAACTTGTATGAGCTGAACCGTGAAATATTTCATCAAGTGAACAAAGAAACCACAGCCTTTTACAAGTTCTTGGCAAACAAACGACCTGATATAATATCCGATGGACCCTCAGACTAAAAGCAATCACTATGGAGCCATCAAGCAGTTTAGACGACATTTTACAGCATATGGATCCTTCACTACTACAGGGATACAAAAAGTTTATGCATGAAGTGATTATACTAGGCATCTGTTATCACAATCTTACTATGGAAACAATGAACCGTTATTTATTGGACTTGAACCAGCATGTCACGGATAACATTGTTGGAAACGCTCTTTCTTACTACGAGATGTATGCGCCAGGAACAATCAAGTCCTATGGGAATTGAACATGTCCGGGCAGTGACGTCAATGGTCTTCTATAAAACTCACGTTGTTCTACTCATCACCCTATACTACCATGGCTTTCACTGTAATCTCTGGCGGCGCCAATGGAGTGGATTTAGAAGCAGAAAAGTTAGCAAGACACTATGGTTTACCAGTACATGTCCTCATACCTCCTTGTCATCCGAGAAAAGCCTCCATACAACCCTTAACTCATCAACATTTAGCTGAAGCGATTCCTATCACAACCAAAGTGGCTTTTCGTCTCAACAAACAGTTAACCAACCCGATCAGTCTACAGTATATACATCGAAATTATCATGTGGTAAAACAAGCTGACATGGTGCTGACGTTTACCTGTTTTGAACCAGAAAGAAATGTTTGCATGGGCGGAACAGGTTGGGCCGTGGAAATGTGTAAAGTCCTCAACAAAGTCTTGTATGTGTATGATGTGGAGCGGAACGTGTGGTTGTGGTATAATCCTAAGCAAGATATGTTTTACGTCTGTGATCAGATGTCAGAAGAACAGTACGCTATACCTACACTCGTGAAGAAAACTGCCATCATTGGAATGAGAAACATCTACGATTACCCTGAGGCTCTTTTAGAATTGCAAGAGACTTTTAAACGTAGTTTACATTTACCAAAACAAGAAGACAAGGATGTCAAGGAACTTTGTAACCCATTTAAATTTTTAACTATTTTATAAGGTTTTCTTCATAAGGTAAAACGATTTTTAATTGCGATCGCCATCAAACGTCTTTGTTCCAATGGATCTGAGAGTTCTTTCTGAATGTGTCGCATCATAGACTCACAGTTTAAGATTTCTCTGACTGCTTGAGTGTTTTTTAATCCCTTGCTTTTGCAGACTTTGGTCCAGCAGAACTAAAGACTGTAATGCTATGCATAATGAGGTGGGAATCATATCCAAGCAAATTATGGAAGAATACAGGAATGTGTGTTGTACGCCGCTTGTTTAGGTTACATGAACTATGGGCCCCTCCGCGGTACTCCCCTGTGACATGATTGTGATCTCTCACTTTACACCATTTTTTCTTCTTTCTCATAGAAATAAAATCACACTATTGTTAAACTTTAATTACAAGAAAAATAATAATAATAAAATAAACATTGTTCACCTGTCTACTTTGTTGTGATTAACTCGGAAAGGGGCTGATAGTACAGTGGTTTAGTATCCCTGCTTGTCACGCAGGTGACCCGGGTTCGATTCTCGGTCAGCTCGTTCTTTCTTAGTCTTGCGATGCTAGCAAGGTTGGGAAAGACTTTTTTTCTTTATTTATAACCCAATAAACATTTAAGACTGGTTTAAAAACGTTTTAGAACGTTTTTACACAAGATTCGGTACTGCGCATGCGTAGTGCGCAAGGACAAAAATTCTGTACCACATGTCTAAGCCAATCCCTTTATCCACATATATCAGTTCACTTTTACAAATTCATTAGTAACTAAGTTCCGAGTCCTCTCCGAGCGCTCTCCAAGCGCCATCTTGAATTTTTAATTTGATTGACAACTTAGAACAATAGCCTTAAAACAATAGCGGCGGCGGCATCCTTTGAGTGGCCAGGTGCCCATCCTTACTACTTCCATAAGAGCGGTCCAAAATTTGAGAATTAAGGGCATCCTCTAACCATTGCTTTCCATTCGCTCGAAGAACACTACTTGTTCTTTCTGAGAAGTACGACCTTAACAGATCGAAGGCTTGAATAAGCCCGTTGATAACACTCCGACTACTTTCTGTCATCCAATGACCTTTTCCAGTCCTTTTCTACAACCAGTTGCAAAAGTACTTGAGACACTGGGGTGTCTGTAAAACGCGGACCGGATACCTGCGGATGGCGGATGCGGATGGGAAAATGAGGATAGAAAAATGCGGATGAAAAAAAAAACGCGGATAACAAAAAAATTAAGAAGAAAAAAAACGAGAAATGCGGATAACAAAAAAAAAAGAATAAATAAACAAACAAAAAACAATTAAGGAAAGAAATCTTTCTTTCAAGTCGCCGTCACATGGTTGGACCCTTCACTGCACTTACATCCAGAACGTGATGCCAATAGTTGGCACAGTTTTGTACCCAGTAATTCCTTTCATTAATGTCACAGAAATAAGAACGCTCCGTTCCTCCTCCTTAAATGCACACATACTTGATGCACTTCTCCTGAGAGTGTCTAGCCTAACGCTTGCAGGCAAGGAAAACAGCTAAAAAAATCGGCTAGCACTGGCCCTGTTTAATATTCTTTTCTTTACCCAATAAGGAGCCAG